CCTGCGCCCCTGCGGCTGCTCCCGAGTGCTGTCATACGAAGTCTTGGTTTATATAATTGCTGTGTCATAATGCTATTTTCTAACTTATTAAAAGAGTCATCTTAGAGTAAATCTATACTGTAGAAAACTATAGGAACTTATTTAAAACTGGCTTTACCATAAAAAAAAGTGAAATAGGGATGAAACAGAAGTCACAATGGGGATACCGGCTGAAGTCAGAAGTTTCTACGGTGTGTCCCGTGTCCATGTGGAAATGTCTGTCAGAAGACAGGTGCTACTCTATTGTAATTCTGAAAAGTGAACTCTTAAAAAAATTCCCACAGGATGAGTTTGCTTCAGGAAGTGCGGATCGTTACCGGCTGCAGTTTCAGGGAGTTGATTTTTCTTCCTGAAAAGGGAAGCTGTGATGTCTGTGGTACATCAGCTGACAGCAGGGTGGCTTGTGGATCATCTTTCTTTCATCAACCAGTGTGGCTATGAGATCCGTGACTCCTTTGCATACCCTGGTAGTGTCACTCTCAATACTTCTGTCACTTCTACTGAAGATGTTCATGCTACTTCTAGCTTTGCTGCCACCTCCTCATCAGGAGATGGTCCTATTCCTGGTCCTGGAGATGCGGTAGAAACAGAAGGTAAAAGAGCAAAAACAAGATATGTGTTTCGCGAGGAGTTCTTTGACATTTGTGAGCCCCATATAGCTGCAGCTCCTGAAGAGCGGCTGTGGCAGGGATGCACTGAGGTGAGTCTCACAGAAATAAAGGCCAACAGCAATAGAGAGGAACACCAAGAAGGAACCAAGAGTGGCGTCGGAGATTCTGTTGCCAGTCCTAGGAAGGTATGTTTGCCGTAATACAGTAAACTGCAGTAATCCCCTGGTAAATAATTTACCACTAATGTTGTCTTGCATGTTTCAGTTTCCTGAGCTTATGTAGGAGAGCAGGGACTTTTCCACAAGATGCATGGAAAATGTAAGCACTCATGAGGATATTCTTGTGTCCTGACATAAAGTCAGTAATGTGCATCCTGTGACTCAAAAGCAGTGGATTCCTCACAAAATCTTCTGATATTGGTTGTGGTCAGGCACGTGAGCTGAAACTGTGGTAGCTGTCAAGATTGTGCAGATTAATGAGGAGGGAAGGACAGTATGAATTTACTTTTGATATGTAGATTGTTCAGTCCTGTTCCTTATAGACCAAAAAAATAAAGTTGCAGGTCTAAACCAACAAATGTAATCATGAAGACCTAGTTAATTTTCTGCCATTATTGGTAAACTGCACTTGGCAGCTGAACAAATACCTTCTAGTATGGCCCCAAAGGAGGCATGAACATGAACTGTGGCATGCACTAGGTACCTTCAGATCCCAGTGCCATAAGTAACATAACAGAGCTTTAAGTCTGTGTACCTTGAGAATGCCTACAGCAGCCTAGGTATTTTGAGATCATCTTTTTGCTTATTGGACTTATGATAAAAAAAGAAAGAGATGGAAGTTTCTTCTGCTTTTAAAAGAGCTAATTTGTAATTCGGGTATGTTTATTTATTTTTTCCTTTCATCACGGAGTAATATGAATTTTTTATTTCACTGCTCATTCTGCAGAAACGTAAAAGGAAATGTGTATTCAACCAAGGTGAACTGGATGCTTTAGAATACCATTCAAAGGTAAGTCTGAACAAAAGTATATTTTTGCAAGTACATGATACCTGACTTTGGGCGTGTATGGAGTGCAAGGCTTGGTTGCAAACAAGTTCTGTTTTTGTAGCTTGTTCCACTAATGGGAAGGTCATCTCTCCAGTCCTTAAATCAGTAAGTGCATACAGAGAATATCTTCTGTGTAGATATATATGAAACAAACTAGGCATGAAACTGCAGCTGGGACATTTTGAAGAGCTGGAAGCTGCATTCACAAAATATCTTTTACCGTTATGGATAACTGAGCATTATACAGTGATGAGTTGAAAATTAGTTGAACAGGAAGTGACTGATTTGAAGTAAACAGTGTCACCTGTTCTGAAGATCAACTCATCTTTAGTATATCAGGACACTGCACTGAAGTTATTCAAAGCTTCTCTGACCAAATGTACTCCAAGAGGTCTCACTTCTGCTAATGAGAAAGAATTATCTCTAACATTTTACATTGTCATACTAAAGCATCATAAATGAATTAGAATTCAAGTTTCTATTTAGGCTCATGTCAGTGAAATATTGGTGAAGTTACAGCTGAATTGCACTGAAGCATGTTAGTAAATCCTATAAATGTAGACTGTGGATAATGTTTGATATATTCTTACTGCTTTCCCAAATAGTGATGTGGCCCTGAACTAGGATCTACACTTGCTTTCTTTCCTCTAATGAAGGTGTTAGTCATATTGGGCTTTTTGTTTAATTCTGTTCCTCTTGGACTATATTTTAATGACTAAATTTTTCTTCTTTTGCATGGCAACAATTTAGTGGTAAACATGTACACTTTGCTATGATACAGTGTAGAGTTCCTGTAATTATTACTGTGTATAAGCTATGTATGTGCAGAATCGCCTTAAAGGAGAGAACCTTGAAATTCAATGTCAAACAGAGGTTTATGAGTATGAAAACCTCTCAGCTAAAATAGTCATTCAACAATAGGAATAAGGGAAGAAACGAAGAGGTTTGATGTCTTGGAGGTCTGTGTAACTTCAAACGATTTTCGGTGAACATGCAAAAAAGTTTTGAAAAATCTGTGATCCCAGTTGGCCTCTGATACCATTCACAGGTTAGAATGTATTGGTTTTTAGTGTATTTGTAGAGTTAAAGGTTGTAGCTCTGCAAGTCAATTCAGATTATTTTGGCACTTATTCATGTCTTTAGAATTGTTTTCAAAAAAAACCCCCAAATTTGTGTCTGCCAGTGAAAGTAGGCATTGAATCCATTTATGAGTTTTGGTCAGAGTCAACATAGGCAACAGTACAAAATATGCTAAATTCCTTCAGCAACCATTTGTTAAAACTGTTTAAATTGCTTGATAGTCGAGAGGCTTTGTCCACCTGTTACTTAACACGTGGATGTAAGAAGAAAAGCCATCTGCATTAATTCAGCTGTACAACTTACAGCATTTCTAAAGAGATATTTATTCTGTTAAAGCAGTATGAACTCTTACTATCACAAACCTAGGTACTAAAAAATTATGACTTTGTCCCCCCAGATATCTAGATGGTGGCGCTATTAAAGAAATTATAAAAAAAAAAAAAAATTGCTTCCCCCCATTAATTTGGAAATTGTAATAAAGAGTATTGTGTAAAAAGATCATGTAAAGTTGAGGATTCCATAATCAGGAGTTTTAGAAACCATAGTAAGTATCTGAAACCTTTGATAAAGCCACTGTAACTGGCCTTATTGCTATTCTAAATAAAAACAAATGCCTCCTTGATAATTAAAACTCATAAAGGCTTAAAGATTTGGGAATGAACTAGGTCTCTAAATTTTGCAAAGGGGGAATGCTGAAGTGAATGAGTGTGTATATAGATCCAAGAATTTTGTCTTCCTGGACTCACTGGCAGATTATTTGAGAGGTGTGTTCCTTAGAAAAGATGAAAAACAAATTCTAATAATTTAATTTGCTTTATTTATTGTACGTCCGTATTACTTTTAAAATGCATAAACTATTGTTTTTCAGAGTGAATTAAAATGTGGAAAAATACTGATTTTTAGATCCCAGTATACGTCTCAGTTAAAAATATGTTTATGGGCACAGTAACTTGGAATTAGATTAGAATTTTAACTTATACTTCAAATTATTGCTTTGAAATTTATGTTTGCTTGGAACAGTAATATTCCACTTCTATTGTCTGTGCAATGTTTTATTCAGTAGTCTCTCACTCTTTCTTTCTCCAGGCTTCTAATTGTAGTTGCTTTACCAAAATGGCAACAACAAAATTTACCATGCCCTTGTAGCTTTTGAGTCAATGATCTCAGTATTTGGCAAGGATCCTTTTCCCAGTCTGCAGATTGAAAATGTTTTGATTCCTGTTGCATTCCCTGATCAAGTAGATATTTGAAAGATAATTTATTTTTCCCTTGTTTCTTTATGACCATACAGGTCAGGAAGCTCATTTGGGAAGGCACTTTCCATTTAGTCCAAGAAGGGCTCAAAAGTGGTTTTCTTCATCATACTACTGCAGAACTCAGTTGCAGGAAGAATGTTGTACTTGAACACATTGGCTGTGGGTTGGCTGAATTATGTGAAATGGCAAAGCAGTTTCCAGCTGTGAATGAAAGTGACCATCAAGCTGTACATATGTTAGATGATGAAACCTCCATTCCAGAGCAGGACCTGCTTTCGTGTGTTACAGAAAACAGCTCAAACTGTGCAAAAATAGTTGTGTTAATGGGGCAGAAGTACTTGGTGCCACCAAAAAGCAGTTTCCTTTTATCTGATATTTCATGTTTACAGCCCCGGCTGAACTGTAAGTATCTTTAGGCATTAGAATTTACCACTTCTTTCCTGTCTAAGAAGGGCAGTTAATGTCAAGATGACTAAGGACTCGATGAACAGATTTTAATATGCAGCATCACACTGACAGGAAATGCTGCTGCAAAGCTTTCAAAGTGGTATTTCTAACTTTGTGCTAATAGGTGGGGGTTTTCAAAGGAATCTTGAGTGGTTAGGAGCATATGTCTAGGGGGGATTCTCTGTCTCCAGGAGGCTCCTTTAAAAATCTCAGCCACAGCATTTTACATGAAGCCCAAAATACAACAGTTTGTGAGCGTGTTCTGAGCCACTGTCAGTGTAGAAGTCATGTAAATGCTTTACATTGGGACTAGCTATGCTGCTGGGTCCCTAGCCCACAGGATGAGGCTTTAACATAGATAAGCCCATGCTGCTGCTGGGCTGGTGTTCCTGCTGTCTTGGTTTTTTAGCTAGATGAGATCATGGGAGAGGGATGAGATTATGCATCTTAAAGCAAGGGTTCCCTTAAAGATTCATCCTGTTCAGCAGCAGGGTCTATTTAGATTGGCATAAACTGATTGTGAAACCAATCTCAGTGTCCTCCAGAGAATAAATCAGTTTGAGAGGCTGCTGCACCCAGCTGGAGGTAAACACTTTAGCAAGACCATGAGTAGCAAATGTGAGTTGACTTCTCAGCTGCTACGTTTCACAGCTGAGAGTATTGGCTTAAGCCAAAATCAGTGGCAGGGAAGTGGTGGGATTTTAGAATTAATAACTCCTCTGTAAAAGTAAATCAAAAGCTATCCAAGCCAGGATCCTCACCCTTAACGGGCCATGCAGAAAGCTTTAAGCTGACAACATGCCTCAGTCTTCACTGTACATCACCATTCCATTAGTTTTCAATTTGACCTTCATTATTATTATTATTATTAGCAGCAGCTAAGCTTCATCAGACAGTCTTACAGGAAAGATGTCTGTGAGCTGGGGATTACTGCTCTACCCTCTGATCAGTAATTTTAGATTTGTTAGTTACATATATTTCCTGCCTTCTAATATGGAACTTAGATGTTCACTGTGGGTTTTTTTTTTTTTTTTAATAAGAAGACATGCAGGAGGTGGAACCTTGTTATCCAAATAAAAATTTTATATTTGAAGTCCAGAATTTAGCCAGGTAGCTTTTTCAGCTGGATGAAAGAAGGAAGATCACTATCACTGTGCTATCATTATACACAGGTGTGCATATAGCAAGTTTGGATTCTCCCAGAGGACAGGGTGCAGTCCAAGAAAATTGAGAAATTGTTTTTGAAGTAACCAACAGTGAATGTTAATACAATGGCATGACTTCTGATTTTTTTTTTTTTTTTGAGGAAGTCTACTGTCCTTTTTAATTAGTATTTTTCTTCTTCCCCTTCACCTGCCAAAAAAGAAGTATTTCTTGCTGGTCAGCCCACTGTCAGGATAACACCTCCAATGTTAATAAGGGAATAAGAGGTAGAAAGCATATTTAATGGACATTAAATATTAAGCTGTTGTTCTTACTAGCTATTTAAGTAATTACTATCAGACTCAATGAAGGAACAAGTATGTTCTGTGGGAACAATAAAATTGGAGAGTCCTGTTTTTTCATGGATGTGTCCTGTATCTTCTATCCTCCAACTAAAGTAAACCCAGCTTCTCCCATGAAAACTCTTTCAGTTCTCTTCCTCTTGTCCATTGATTTCCATTTCATATACTGGGTCTAGCTGTCTGTCTCTCTTCACCTTCAGTAGTGCAAAACACAGTTTTTGAGGGCTGATTCAGAGTTCTGTGTGTCCCAGCTGGCCTGCTAGAAAGATCAAACAGGACAGGAATCTTGTGTTCAGGGCTGCAGCCTTTCACTCACCTGGGTGCCTTATTACATAGTTTCTGTTAGGAAACTTGGAAGAATTTTCATCTTTGAGACTTGCGCTCTGCTATCAGGTTTTTTCTGAAGTCCCCAGGATGTTCAAAATTTCTTGGGGGGATCTGACACAGATCACATAAATGTCCTTTCCTTAGGTCATCAGCCTGAAAATCTCTGAAATCTATGATTATCTGAATTAAAACAAGCGTACTAGAAGCCTGTTAACTTCTTATTTGGACATAACAGAAGAAAGTTGCGGTTTTGCTGTATAGTTGGCTCTTTAAATGTTTTCTGTATGTGGGTAGCTAAGCCTTTATCAGTTTTAACTAGTAGATTTATTTTAAAACTAATTTACTGGTGCTTTTTTTTTTGTGTAATTTCACTTCCCAGACAAGAAAAAATATGATGTAATTGTGATTGATCCACCATGGGAGAACAAGTCCGTTAAAAGGAGTAACAGGTAAATTTTATAGTAAAATCAAACAAACTTTGTCATCTTAGCTTACAAAGGGTAATTACCTTTTTAATATACTGATGCAATCCAAGACTAATATAACTGTGAGACTGTAGCTTAAACTAGCAAATATTTTGGCGCATGCCTACCTTCAAGTCTATGAAATGTCTCGGAGATTTCACTGAAATGGCTTGGATACTTGGCATACAAAATATTTGCAAGAGTAGATCTTAAATTACCTAAATGGTGCGAGAATGCTAATCCTTGAGACTTGTACGGAAAGCCTGGAGTTAATTGTTTTGTAAGGCCCAGATCATACAGATATTAATTTGAAATTAATAGGTTTACTTTAGTGGGTATAAAGCTAGATAAATCTTTAAGTATTTCCAGGACTGAGATCCAGTTTAGACGTTTTAGTTTTTTAATTTTTTTTTTTTTTTTTAGTTAGAGCTGTAGTTTGAGCTTCAGTCTGATGGGTAGAAGAGAGAAAATGATAATGCAGCAGTAAAATCCCCAAGTGCAATAGGAACTTTGTGACTACTGTAGTTTATGAAGTCATTAACTTAAAATTTTATGGTCTTCCTTCTCCACTGAGTAACATTAGGCTTATGCCAGTGGAGCTCTCTTGATTACCATAGAATTGTATCCATGTGAAAGAAGGGCAGACAGGAAATACAGCCTTACAACTTCCTAGAATAATGTCTAATGTGGCTTTTGAAGCTTATTATGAAGATACAATTTGAAGATGCAGAGACTGATTAGTAGGTTTTACTTTGAAAGCCCTACAGAAACCTCTAGAAACCCAGAGTTAAACTCAATCAAGTGTCTTTATTATGTCTAACTATTAAGTTACTCAAAAGGAAACTGTAGTTATTCACAAGCATGAATTAGCCAGCAAGATCCTCTCTCCCTTACAAAATACAGGCAAAAGGTGGAACTATCACTGCTGTTAGTTACCTTGTTGATGGCTAATCTTTGTTAATCATTTCACATCTGGGTTGTGAATCTTGTTTTCTCTGGGCACTCTAGTCCAGGAGGTATTTTGGATTTTACCCTTCTTACCCATTTCTCACTGTTGCATTGTATAGGGATCCCAGGTACCCAGATGGTGGCTGTCGATTCCAGTAGGTAGAGTGCCAATGTTTTTGATGCCGCAACACATGAATTGCAATAGAGTAGAATAGCATCACGAGAAAAATGGTAGAACATGACAGAATCTGGAAAGCATACTGTATTCACTGATGTAGCATACAGTTAACTCAAAAATGTGCAGAACTGTTATGAATAACCTAGAGAACTTTTACCGGGAATGGTAATTTAAAAATAATGAATAACTTCTGCAAATAATTGGAGAAGTGATTACTCTTTTGTGACCTTTTAACTTGCCAGTCAAATTAGTGTTGCCCTTGCACTTGTAAATGACTCACTTGTCATTTTCATTCCGAAGAGAGATTGCTTATTATGAAAAGTGAATGATGTTACATTGACTGAAGAGCTACTTTTCACTAAATAGCTTTGTTCTGGTGTAAAGATGAGAGTATTGAACTACATATGATAGTTCGTAAATTAAGCATGGGCTTTTAGACTTCTTCAGAGTCACAGTTTGTAATACTTTATTTGGGGAATAGTAGAAATATGTAGTTAAAGGTTCTGCTCGGTAAAACTTAAGTACATACACTTTATATCAGAATCCTTCAGATCTGGCCACTGGGTGTCAGTCTTGATCCATTTTATGACTTGTCAGGTGATAATTCTTGAAACGTCTTGGCTGTGTAATTTCTTTATCCATTTGTGTTGCTTTGCAATTTTTTTATTCGGTGTATGCTAACTTGCTTTCTCACTGTATTGGCATATAGATACAGCTACTTGTCTTCATGGCAAATCAAGAAGATTCCTGTACCAGCACTAGCTGCTCCAAATTGTCTTCTAGTCACGTGGGTGACTAATAGACAGAAGCACTTACGTTTTGTTAAGGATGAACTTTATCCTCATTGGTCTGTGAAAACACTTGCTGAGTGGCACTGGGTAAAAGTAAGTTCTCAGGTTTTTTTGTTGCTTTCTTGGAGACTGAGAGGGCTTGCACTGTGACACTGTATTCTTACAATTTGTCTATTTACTGCCGTGTGCTTTTGTATTTGAAAGGTATGGTATTATCAGTATCTTTTTTTATCAAAGAAAATGCCCCCCCAAAAATGGATATGAAATCTTCCACTGTGTATTTTTAATTCCTTTGTGTCAGATTACAAGAGCTGGAGAATTTGTATTGCCTTTGGATTCTTTACACAAAAAGCCCTATGAAGTTCTTATATTGGGGCGAGTTCAAGGAGACGTAAAGGAAGCCTTAAGGTATGCCAGGATATTTATGGTAAATGTCTTTTTTGAGGCTGCTAGGATTCTCTTTGTATATATCACTTGTTCATAATACAATATAATGTGCCCAGATCTTCTCTTGGCATCATCTTTTGGCTGATTGTGGACCTAAAAATAGCCTTACTAGCTTTGGGATAAGAGAGTGCTTTAGTGAGATTAAAGGATGGAAACCTTTGTTTCTTATATCTGTTGCGGAACGAGCTCAGATAAAAGCCTTGTGGACAGGGCTTCCTTTGCTGACAGGTTCTCTTGGACCATGAGTCCTTGGCACAGGCTGATCCCATTTTGGGGATGCTGGTGTTTTTCTACACACGAAAACATACAGGACTATATTGTTCATTCTCAATGGGTTTGTATGGCTATTGTTAACCACATTTTGTCTAAAGCCTCAGTGATTTCATAAACTGCCCTTTCATATGTTATGGCTGAGCAACATTTAACTTCCCTTAGACTTACCTGAAGTTTGACTGTGAATGAACATTCTGTGTGTTAGCTCCCATCTGAGGTAGCTCTGAGAGAGCTGCAGCATCGCATTTGGTGGTATTCATTTTCACACTTCTTTTCATGTTCTGATTTATACGACAGGAAATCTGAAGATGTACTTCCAATTCCAGAACATAAGTTAATTGTCAGCATACCCTGCAGTCTGCATTCACATAAACCCCCTCTTACTGGTATGTTTTGTTTTGTTGCATAATGTTTCTGTAGGGCATTGGACTTGGATGTCTGAAATGATACACCTAGAATGAGATACCTCTTTCTTTATTATGTTATCCTGAAAGAAATGTTTTTATTTCTGCATGAGTTGCTTGTACACCTGCAGTACAGTTGTGCCTTTAAATCCAAAAATGTAAATATTTTAAAAATGTTAAGAATAGGCCACAAATAAGGCATGCCCTGCTTATTTCTTAGGAGCTGCATTTAATTTACTGAAATTGATGCAGTGACTCCAGCCAGCCTGTTAGTGTGGGTATGAATTCAACTTTTCAGAGTTTAGTCCAAAGTATTTGAAGATTTCTGTGTGATATGTTACCTTTTGCACATTGTTCTGGAGCACTCTTACTTTGACTAATTTCATCAGTAGAAAGTTGTACCTCTTTCATCATTATAGCACCTGAGTGCCTTACAGTGCTATGGTAAGAAGCATGTTTAATACCTCTTACAATAATGATTTCATCCTTCCCCAGGGGGGAAACTCATCACGAATCTGCAAATATTCTAGGTGCATGTGGTGCTATGTAATCACATCAGAAAAGGCAGGTAGAAGAAATGCATAATGCTGTTGGGGAGAAGAGGCATCACGGTTTGCTTCACTGACATGCTTTCCTTTTTCTGTTCCCAAGGAACAGAACAACTTCAGTTAGGAAGCTGAGCTGGACAGTTGTTATACATTCAGGGAGGCTCTAAAATTTGTATTTTGGCCTTGTATTTATTAAATTAACATATATATATATGCACCTGTTCAAAAACTAGTAGAAGACATACTTTGGTTAGCTAAAAATAATTTAAAAAAAAACAAAGCAGTTCTAGGGGGATCATTTTGCAGTTCTGAACTCATGTCTTTAAGAATTAGGGCTACAGCAATGAAGTATGTGTGTTGATTTAAGGTAATGAATGGTAAGGTAGTGATTTGTGAGGCAGCCACCTAGGGCCTCTTCAGAAAACCAGTACTTAGCAGCACACTCAGTTACAACATGAAACTTGTGAGGTATCCAAGGGTGCAAAACAGCAGTTTGTGTGTCTTATAGAGAATTCTAGTACCAGGGCAGTCCTTGGAACAATTCTTTTGTAGGGCAGAATCTAGAAACAGTATTGGGGAATCCTTTATAAATTTTGATCCTGAATGGGTTTTGAAAGAAATTATCCGTGCTAATTTATATATTTCTTGAGTCTTTACTTGAATGCTGGGATTTGATACCATTTGTATTTCTACCTGAAAAATGAATTTGCTGTTGAGCAATATCAGTGATTTACAAGGTTTTTATAAAAATCCATGTGTATATTACAGTTTTGGCAGTTCCATTCAGAACATGGTTATGGAATGAAAAGGCAGACCATGAGACAAAAGCTAATTGCTGATGCTTTGACTTCAGTGTTGTAAAACGGTATTGCTTCCATGACTGGACAATATTCTCAAGTGGCCAGTAGAGAGCAGCTGAGCTACATCCTAGAGTGGTTCAGAAGAAATTTGAACAGCAGAAATTTGGCAATGGGGGAGAAGGACACTTGATGAGTCACATGCATTCTTTATGCTTTTTTTAAGTAGTAACAAAGCCAAAAATATTAGTATTTATTGATACTGTCTGGCACTTTACTATTGTAAAGGCTGTATGTTGGTACATATGTAGCCACTTAATGACTGATTATAACAGTTTATCTCTCTGGGGGAAGAGAAAGATGTAAATTAAAGTAAGCCATCAAAAAGAGATGTTTGGGTTCCTACAGTGCATTTAACCATGAAATTGTGACTGTAGGGGTTTTTGGTGATGCATGTGCTGTGTTCAGTGCTTAGAGCTTTAATATGTCATTGTAAATGTACTTAAGCTTCTTTATGCAAATGTGTTAAAATGAAATTTTATTACTTCTGGTTTTGATTCAAATAGCTTTTTTTTCCTACTAATCCAATTCAGTGTTGCTCTTAGAAGACATAGAAGGTATTTTGTTACACAGATGGTGTGTAGTTATGGAGAACTTCAAACACTTTCCTTTTCCTGTTTTATAGGTTCTTGTTATAGCCATTTCTCCTCCAGTTTTTGAGTATGTACATTTATTATTAGAAAATAATATTGTCATATAGGAGTATGCCTAAAAACATTGGAATTAATTCTTGGCTATGTTCTAGCTGTTCTGCATATCTCCAGCAGAAAAGTACAATGGGAAATCTTGGGAAATCCCTCCTGTAGCAACCCTGGCTTGTTAGGCCATGTTATAAAAGCGTTCTTGGAAGTAAAAAGAAGTAAATACCTTTTGTTTCCTTATGTGCCTTGTGAGCCCTTGCTGTTAGACTAATTTATAGGTGCATCAACATCTAGGTTTCACTTGAAGCTCAGGAAAGATGCAGAGATGTAAAGCCATCTTTGTGATGAGTTTCAGATCCTTTTCTGGTCCTATTCTGTTCAGGGATTAGGCAGACTGGGCAATAAGGACCTTTACATTGCAAACTCTTTTGAAGGGTTACTATGAAATGAGTTCAATCATGCTTTGTGTGGCTCACAAATCAGTGAAAATCCGACAGTCATTTTCACTTTATGTATCCAATTTGCCATGCAGAACTTGGCATTTAGGTAATGGGAGCTCAAAAGGCAAGGGGAAACCATTGCTTGTTTCAAAAATGATTCTTCCTTTTGCTTATTTAAACATTTTTAGCAGCATGCATCTTCAATACGTGTTTGGGATTAAGAGTAGGCAAGTATGGCAGGTATCCTGCCTGACCACCAGATTGTGCTTCAGAAGGAAGTGGGTTTTCTGGAAGACCAGTATATCTACCAGCTGGCTTTGTGCTAGCTTCATGTGTCCTAGGGCATTAGATGCTCAAGTATAGGTGCCTGAGTTGCTGTCACAGTGTTTGACACCTGCGAGTGATAAAGAATAATCTAGTTATCGTCTATTTAAGCTGTTTATTGTCAGTGGTATCTGTAAGTGGATAGAAGTAATTGTGTGTTTGTTTGCTGGTGTTTGGTTTTTTTTTTTTAAATCTATTCCTATGGTAGAAACACTTAATATTTAATCTTTCTACTGATGTAGATCCTCTAACCTGTTTTCAGAGGAAAAAAAACTCCAGAGTTTGCTTAAGGGCTGCAAGTCAGATCCATGCGTGTTAGAATAGCCTTCTGGTGATATAAAAGCGTAACAAAGAAGCTATAATTTGTAACTTGAACACTGACTTTTCCTATTTTAAGGAAGCGAGTGTAATGAAATTTTATGCCAACAATACATAGCCACATTATTGCCCTCCTGATATGGTAATTTCCATTGCAGTGCAAGTCACTGCTTGATGTGATTATGTAGATACCTACAACCTAGCAATGAAAAATCATACTATAATGTGTTCTTCAATTATATGTAATCTGCCTCTTTTTTAAAAAAAAACTTGGGACTTCAGAAAAGACCCTCTCTCTGGCAACAGGAGAGGGGGAGATTCTTGGGACTTCTTTTTTAAATTCTATAACCAAATTGATCGAAAGATTGGCACAAGCTTTCTGCTTCTGCTTAACTGACCTGGTTTTTGGCTACCTCTTTTTTGCTTTCTGGGTAACCAGTCTTTGAGGTTGGTTAAATCTCCTAAGTGTGCTTTTAAAATTTGTTCTTTTAGGCATGGAAGTTTTTGGTGTTTAGTAAACCCACTTTTGATTACTGGACTTAGTGCTGTGATGATATTTTTAATCTATACATTTTAAGAACAAATGCCAACATTACTAATGTGCTCTTAATGAAATTTTGTCACCTAAATAATTGCTTCCTCTACTTAGAAGCCTTTATAAAGCATAAAATGGTTCTATTTTGTTTTTATATGGAGGGGGGAAAAAAGTCATATAAAGCCTGACTCTGCAGTAAGCTCTGCATGATCTTATGCCCGTTAGGTTCAAAAAGATATCCTACACGTGTCAGGATCTGCTCAAAGAGAGCTTATTGAAAACTTTGGAGCTTTGCTTTCCACAGTCTCTCCCTTCTCTTCTGTGGAAACAGTGCAACCCTTGCAACATGGGCTTTCTTAGATGATCAAGAGAATAGATTTTTGGAAGATCTTTGTTAAAGTCATAGAATCATAGAATGGTTTGGGTTGGAAGGGACCTTTAAAGTTAGTCATCTAGTCCAACCCCCCCTGTCATGAGCAGGGACATTTTCAACTAGATCAGGTCGCTCGGAGCCTCATGCAACCTGACCTTGAGCGCTTCCAGGGATAGGGCATCTACCACCTCTCTGGGCAACCTGTTCCAGTGTTTCACTACCCTCATTGTAAAAATTTTCTTCCTCGTATCTGGTCTAAATCCACCTTCTTTAAGTTTAAAGCCATTACCCCTTGTGTCACAATCCAAACTGGGCTGCCCAGAGAGGATCGTGGAG